AGGAATGTTAAGAATGATGGAGCTACAAAAACGAGGGTAAAATCTCACGTGTAGATTTATCAAGAAGAACCTCTTCTAGCAGAACTTAGAAGGAAAAATTCTGCTACTGCAATCCAGGGCATAGCCTGAAGGCATATGAGGCAGCAAACTTTGTTGAAGTAGCAAACACTACAAACACTATGTACAAGGAAGGGTGCATATTTGAGATTTCTGTAACAGCTAAGGCATATATACATTGCTTTAAGTGATCCTAAGAATGCAGCCTTGCTCAAGTACACAATCCTGCTGGATTGATTTTACCCTAAACTGAGGGATAGGAATACATTACATTTGGTCTAGAATTCTTTACCAGAAGCCTTGCAACCCAGCAGGCAGGAGGTAGTCCACCAGAAATTTATTAGTGGTCCATCAGTAGACCACTCTGCCCAACCTTGCACAAAATTCTTCCAAAGCACAGGAAGACCCACAAAATGTTTTAATCAAAGTGTCTCAAATGACATTACTGTATAGAATCACAGAATCGTAGCGTTGGAAGGGACCCTGAGGATCATCCAGTCCGGCCCCCTCAAATGTAAGGATGTCAACTAAAGCATCTGTGACAGATGGCCATATCTACAGGACAACAGCCTGAGCTAGCAAACTTTATCAAGGATACTTTCCTTGAGCGTTTGCAGAGTCAACAAAACACACGCGCACACATATAACAAGAACAATTCAAAACCAAAGAAGACATAAAAGCAGACACTTACTCTCCAGTAGGAGGGAGGCTGCTGTTGCTGGTGCTGCTGCTGACTTGCGACACGTGAGCACTGCATGAAAGGAATTCAAAAGTTATATGCAAGTCTCAAAGAACATTAAGAAAAGCTGCTTAGAGAACCCCAGAGCTTTGCTTGAATTCTGAATGATCTGTTTAATGAATTAAAAAGGCCTCCCAAAATATAAGCACCTTGGATCAGTTTCATGCATACATTCATGTAACTTCGATTTCTGTTCAATTGATGTCAGATGAAAAAGTCAACTGACTTCAGCGAAAGGCATCATAATTTTCTTTTCAACAAATTGTGGACTAGTAACATTTGGCAAATTATTTGCGAAGATGCCTTATTATTGTGTGAAGAAAGAGAAGTGTATGCTTAGTTGCCAGGTTCTTCCAGTTTTATAAGACTATCCTTACGAGAAGCAACACATTATGCAAGAAATAAGGCGAGAATCGTCTGTTATTGTCAGCTGTGCATTTGAACTTACACTGTTTTATTTAAAGTAAGTCCCCCCCCAAAGAACATTTTTCTTTTAAAAAAACAAAATGCATCATATGAATAATCTGAACGATAATATAAAACTGATCAAACAAAACAAAATCAGTTCTTTAAAATTCAGAGCATCTCAAGTCCACACAATATATTTGGGAGAAGAAAGATCTTTTGACAAAAGGAGTCCTGTTTGCTACAAAACAATTTCATCTTTGACCTGGTTCTTTTGACTTCAAAAAGATGTGTCGTCTTAGATACTTAATTCCCACCCCCCAATTTTACCTGTCAATTCATTAATCCTAAGTATTACTAGAGACATCATATACCTGTGGTGACAACTCACACGTGTAAGTTACCACTTGGAATTTCATTAATCAAATGATGGAACATATAAATGCAAATCAACTCTCGGACTGCAAACTCCTAAGCGGCAATGATTCAGCCACTATTTCTGACCAATCTGCCGTGATAAGAGTAGGTTAGAAACAACACGCAAACAAATTTCAGAGCCTCTCACAAATTTAACACACAGCTTATAACACAATATGCACCTCTCAAAAATGATCAGCACAAAAAGAAGCAGACTGGCTTTTTGAAAAGAACACGCATTTAACTTAAAGCAGCTAAGCAGATTTGCGATGGCAGATGCATCTGCTGTGTGTTCTTCTTGTGAATACAGCCATACCTTAGTTTCCAAACAGCTTAGTTCTCAAACGTTTTGGCTCCCGAATGCCGAAACCCGGAAGGGAGTATTCCGGTTTGCGAACGTTCTTTGGAACCCGAATGTTCGACATGGCTTCCAATTGAGTGCAGGAAGCTCCCACAGCCAACTGGAAGCCGCGCCTTGGTTTTTGAGTGTTTTTGGAAATCGAAACAGACTTTTGGAACGGATTCTGTTTGAGAACCAAGGTACGACTGTATTGCACAGTGAATAATGGGGAGATCAATTGGCAAACTACGTAATTGGGATGAAACACGTGCCCACCACTTGTTTACAGACACGTCCTCCCTTGCCTTCCTGCTTTGCACAGAAGGCACCTGTGATTGTGTGATCAATGCACCTGTTGACCCGTGGCTTCAAGCAGCTGAGAGACCCTCCATGTATGGAAGGAGTATACCAGGTGCTAGGGGTAAACAGCAGGAGAGAGCTGCTGCCCTTATGCTTGCTTTGCAAGTTTCACAGAAATGCCTTTCTGCCCATGAAGGCTGAACTAGGTGAATGGCAACTCTTTCGTTCCTAACGCAGATTCAGTCTCCTTGCACTGCTTCTTATCATGTGCCAATGTGGCAGGAGCACTGGTGTGTTTTGTGGTAAGTTTTCCTATACACCCTATTTGCTTAGGGTGATTTGTATTGGGAGAAACTTCGGTCTGCACTGGGAAATTTTCTGAAGCGTTATTATTATTATTATTATTATTATTATTATATTACTATTATTATTATTACGACTACCACCATTAATTCACTGCCTCCTAAACAACAGCACATTTTTAATAATGTGTGTAAATGCCTTGAGACAAAGGCATTTGAATACATTATTAAAAACGCTTAAAAGCACAAAAGCAAAACAAAAACATTTAAGACAAGACTAAAACCATAACTGGTAGACATACATTGTAAAAAATTATGCACCTGTTCTACCTCGAAAGGAATGCTACTCCACCCCACAGTAAAATCCCTACTGTGAGTTACTGCAGACCTGGCTTCTGAGATCTTTGGGGCTTGCAGGAGAAATTCTCCTGCAGACTTCAGTGATCTACTGTGTAGATCTACTGGATAAGGCAGTCTCTCAGGTAACCTGGTCCTGAGCTGTACAGGGCTTTCTGTATTAGCATCAACACCCTGAACGTGGCTCAGCAGTACAAGAGCAGCTGACACAAATCCCACAAGCAGGGTGCTATGCGCTGTCTGTCGGTAGTTTGTCTCCACAAGTTTGTCCCCACAACCTAGCTGCTGGGTTCTGCATGAGCTGCAGCCTCTGGCGAAGGGTCACCTTGCATGGAGCACACTGCAGTAATTCGACTGTGAGGTTATCACTGCATGGGCAACTGTGCCCTAGAGAGGGGTCTAATTTAGCAAGTTTATATTAACAGACACCACTAAACGGAGCTAAAAACTGTGAAACTGCGTAGCCTACCCAATACAGTGGTACCTCGGGTTACATACACTTCAGGTTACAGACTCCGCTAACCCAGAAATAGTGCTTCAGGTTAAGAACTTTGCTTCAGGATGAGAACAGAAATCGTGCTCCGGTGGTGCGGCAGCAGTAGGAGGCCCCATTAGCTAAAGTGGTGCTTCAGGTTAAGAACAGTTTCAGGTTAAGAACGGACCTCCGGAACGAATTAAGTACTTAACCCGAGGTACCACTCTACTTATTTGCAATTGGCGTCCGTTCATTGTTCCTAATGGACTTACAACGTTGGACGTTTTCTGTGGAAAAATAAGGCACTGGGAAAATTTTCTGCCTCGTGTCACTGGCCTGAAAGCAGCCACATGCCCAATTTACCAGATACAACAATGCACATGATTTCCCTAGACGTAAGTGATGCCACGTAGGACAATACTGAATGGGACAACTGTGTCCCTGAAGGACCAGCTGTGCAGCCTGGGAGTCATTTTGGACTCCCAGCTGTCCATGGAGGCGCAGGTCAATTCTGTGTCCAGGGCAGCTGTCTACCGGCTCCATCTGGTATGCAGGTTGAGACCCTACCTGCCCGCCGACTTGTCTCGCCAGAGTGGCGCATGCTCTAGTTATCTCCCGCTTGGACTACTGCAATGACCTCTCCGTGGGGCTACCTATCATCGTCAAAGTTTGGTCTTCCCAGGAAGCGAAAACACAGCCTGATGCGGGGCCTTGTCTTCGGAGCAGCTCTCTGAACTGGGAGGCAAGGTCAGGTCTGAGACGTGCAGGAGTCCTGTCTCTCCGCCTCCTCCATCCCGCTGACTCAGCTTTGCAGATAAGAGGGGCCATGTGACATGTAACTGAGGTTCAGAGCCTGACTACAGTATTCATAAACCAAGTTGTTATGAGCTTAAAACATTTCGTTGGGCTTGATCCTCTTATCGGCAAGAGAATTAGTTCGCCCAGCTGGCTGGCCTGCATGTGTGCAAACAAGAACGACATGGTGTCGCTGAGGGAGGCAGATACGCTGCGAAATGCAAGGCTCAGCACACCACCCTAACGGACGCTTGCTGAACAAGAAAACGCTTCAAGCATCCTGCTTCTCAAACAGTTTGTCTCCAGTGTGCTTCTTCGGACTTACCGCTAAGCATTCCTGCTAGTACTTTCTAGTACAGTCATACCTCGGGTTGAAGTCGCTTCAGGTTAAGCCTTTTTGGGTTGCGCTCTGCGGCGACCACTCACCGCATGCACAGATGCTCAAAATGACGTCACGCGCATGCACGGAAGTGGCGAATCGCGACCTGCGGATGCGGGTTGCATTCACTTCAGGATGCGAACGGGGCTCCGGAATGGATCCCGTTCGCATCCAGAGGTACCACTGTAATGTGTGAACCCCTCGCTGCTACCCAGAACACGTTGGGTTAGTCTAGAAAGAAGCAGTCTATTCATTAGAGACGGGCGGCATTCTTCTAATGCAAAGCTTGCTGGGTAACCCTGAGCCGGTCACATGATCTCAGCCCAACCTACCTCACAGGGTTGTTGTAAAGATCAGAAGGGAATGAGAACTATCTAAGTCACCTTGATCTCCTTGAAGGAAAGATGGGGTACAAATGTAACAGAGAAGAACTGCTGGGATAGCTCACTCGGTACAGTGTGAGAATCTTAATCTCAGTGTTGTGGGTTCGAGCCCCATGTTGGGCAAAGGAGTCCTGCATCGCAGGGGGTTGGACTAAATAACCCTTGTGGTCCCTTCCATCTCTCTTACGATTCTATGCTTCTAAGAAGAAGAAGAAGAACATCAGGGCTTCAACTTAGGATAGACCTCCAGGTCTTGCCAAAGAAAGGCCTAAAAACGAGTTAAGGCGCTAGTCCTTAGGGAGCGTCTCCACTCCCATCGTTCTACCCGGACACTGATGTCCAGCACCGAGGGCCTTCTGGCGGTTCCCTCACTGCGAGAAGCCAAGTTACAGGGAACCAGGTAGAGGGCCTTCTCGGTAGTGGCACCTGCCCTGTGGAACTCCCACCAGATCTCAAAGAGAACAACAACTACCAGACTTTTAGAAGACATCTGAAGGCAGCCCTGTTTAGGGAAGCTTTTAATGTTTGATGTGTTACAGTATTTTAATATTTTTTTGGAAGCCGCCCAGAGTGGCTGGGGAAGCCCAGCCAGATGGGCGGGGTATAAATAAATATTTATTATTATTATTATTATTATTATTAGTGGTCCAGTCTTACAGGTGTACAAGGACACACTTCACCCAGAGGAAAACCCAGGTTTGCCACTAAATATTTATTTATTTATTAGATTTATATACCGGCCTTCATCAAAAGATCTCGAGATAAAAATACACGATAAAAGCACAAGAGAGATAGTCAAAACAGAAGCAATGAAACAATAATGCCCTACTCCCACAAACACATTTAAAAGGCCACAGAGTATTAATCAGCCAAAGGCCTGGCACCTAAAGATATATAATGAAGGTGCCAGCCTTGCTGGGGAGAGCATTCCACAAATGGGAAGCCACTGCAGAAAAGGCCCCGTTCTCGTGTTGCCACTCTCCCGTGTGGAAGAGGCACACAAAGAAGGGTCTCAGAGGATGAACACAGAGTCATCAGGGAGCCGCAACACAATGACAACATCTGTATGGTACTCATGTTAGCCATATGTATCTACAGAGATACCAACTGACCAGGAACCACAGCAAGCTTGGCCTGACCTTGTGTCTTTTAGCAGCAGCAGCAGCTTCGATGCACGGAAATGAGAAGGTGAGGCCTTTTCTTTTTACAGCACAGAGGCAAGTGCCTGCAGATCAATCAGCTTTTGACAGGGGACCAGGCAAGGCTGAAGTCTAGCTTTCCGGCAGCATTTTCACACGTCTGTCATTGTGGGCCCTGGTGTGTTTGCAAGGCGGCTGCTTTTCTTATCGAGGAAGCTAGTCCAGGCAGAAAGCAATTATTTACCCTTGCACTTTCCTCCCCCTTTTCTCTAATCAAATCATCACTGGGGATTTGTGAGCAGCGACACCTGCAGCCAAAAGTCTAGCTGTGCTCCGGGAGGGCGTGCAAAGATTTTCGCTGAGGCTAGCCACAGGGACCTCTCCTGTATTATTCACTTTGGCAAGTCTAGGCTCTCTCCACCCAAGGCATGGACTCTCCTATATTAGATTTTTTTTGGGGGGGGGAGGTGTTTCTCAGGCACAAAATCATGCCTGTTAAACTCAGTCAGTGTGACATCATTCTCATTTATCTGCTGCATTAATATACCACCTTTTTCCTCCAAGGAGCTTAAAGTGAACACACATGGTTCTCTTCCTCCTCATTTAATCCCAACAACCTTGTGTGGTACATGAGGCTGAGAGGCAGTGACTGGCCGAAGGTCACTCAGTGAGTTTCACGGCTGAGCGGGGATTCGAACTCAAGACTCCAACCACTACGCCACTCTGCAAAAGTAAAAAAGCAACGTCTAACCCTAACTCCCCAAAAACACTGACACGGCCTGAGCTCATTGGTAATAAGCCTGGCTGAGATCTGGGTGCCAGTTCAAATTAACCTTTTTAAAAAACAAAAACAAATTAGCTCACATTGAAAACAGAGCATTTGAGAGTTAAGGGGCAGCCAAGGGTGGGTGGATATTTTAATTTATTAAATTTACATTCCACCTTTATACCCAAAGGAGTGGCCTGATTTTTAACCCTTCCCCATTTGTCAGCTCCTTACTGTTCTCCAAAATGGCTGCTTCTGCCCAATAGAAAATGCTTAGATTCAGAGTGTTGTGAGGAGGCAGGTTAAGCATCCTGTCCCTTCAGTCCTTTACAATCCCCCACTTTTTTTAAAAAAGGGGCTTTAGTTTCAAAATATGGCACCACAGATTACTTAAATGCATTTGCTTGCAACATGCAGTTAACCGAGATGGCGCTAGAGAGCTTTCCTAATAAACGACGACAGTTGCTGGAGCCCAGAGTCACGAAAGCAAACCAAAAGACAAGCTTCTTCTGAGGGGGACCATTAACACCACCACCACCACCACCACACCGTTTCCCACTCTAGAACAGGGATCGCCAACCTTTTTGGACTGAAAGGACATATCTGGAATTCTGAGAAGGAAGTTTCTGTGGGTGCCAGTCACAAAATGGCTGCCGGGGTGGCGAGGCATAACAAAAAAAATGGCTGCCGTGGGGTTACGTAGGAGATGCTGAGCTAGAGCAAACAGGAACTGCTGGGCCAGGAACAGCATAGAGTCCCTCATGCATTTTGTATTTTTGATGGGATATTGAATGAGACCTTTCTCGGACACCAAAGGCAATAACTGGCAGATATATTCGCAGCCACAGACACAGTACTGGCAAATCCTCTCCTTCAGGAGACGAGCCTGATATTTTCAATAGGAAAAGGAAAGGGGCTTGTTTCTTAGATGTCCCTTCTCTATACATTGTACCCACTAGCATAATAGGAATTAAGTCTTTCTCTGGCTCATGGACAGAAGCCATTCATGATGTCAAATTTTGTTTTGCGCAAGAGTATTCTGCTGCCTCTGCCATGCATCTTAAAAGTCCAACACAGAACATGGTTTTCTCGTGTACAACTGATCATTTCTACTTGGCTGACCCAAACATCCGGAGACCCAGGCTCTGCTTGCATTACCTGAAAGTTTCTTATCTACCCCTGTTAACATTCACCACCTGTTGTTTTCAGTTTTCTGAAGTACGCCCTGCTTATCTAAGAATCTCAGTGCTAATATAAACCCAGGATTACCAAGCAAAAGACAAGGCACAGAAAGTTTCTGTGTACAAAGATTTAGAAAACCAAACAATGATCCTCTTATAACATGGCAGCCTCATGTTTTAAGCTACAACTGACACCTCCTAAAACGGATGACAATATTCCTGTTGATTTGAATGGAATTGCATCACATGTTTGATAATATAATATAGTTTTTGTTGCTCTTAATAAAACAATGGAGTGAAGGCAATCACGGCTCCAAGTGCTATTTGCTTTGAGTCATATAAACAGTATTTTTGGCGTGCAAGATTCTTGTGTCAATTTAGCACCACCACAAAATTGAGAAATAGCATATTGTTTTATATTGTAAAAAAAAGAGAGAGCTATATTACAGTGCACTAAGCAGTGGTCATGGTGGTGATGAACTCCAGCTGTGATTGGCTCAGCTACCTGCCTGTCTGTCACAGGGGGGCTGGCCAAGCCACTGGTTACCATTGGCTTAGCTGCTCTCTCTGCTTACAGTCTCAACCTGCCATAGGGATGGGAGGTCAGGTGCACAGCTGGGCTGGCGAGAGTTGTAGTCCAAAACATCTGGAAGGCACCAGATTGGTGGAGGTTGTGCTAAGGGAAACAGAGACAGGGGTATCTAGGAAAGGAGGGCTGGAACAATGCAGCAGACAAGGCAAGGAAGAGGTGTCACAGGGGAAAGAAGACACACAACAGGTAGGGAGAAGATGTGCAGAGCAAATAACAGGCCAAATCTTTGACTGAAAGCCTCCGGTTATTGGTCTACTTTTACAGATAGGGCTGCAGAAACTGGCTCAAGGTTAAGCAGATGTCTGCACTTGGATTTACAAAGGGCTGCACCCACATGGCGGGGGATTTAAGAGTGCACCAAGTCTAAAAGGAATTTCAGACAATTAAGATTCTAATGTTACAGATGTTTGTTTAATCATTCTGCTGTGCTCTTTAGGTTACGTCCCTTGACTGAAATGGGAGAGAGGAGATCGTTAAGGAACACAAGCCGCTGCACTCATCAGAAACTCTGCAACATTTGCAGCGCCGATGATAAGACGAATAAAAAAAGGCATATACATAACGTTCCTGCCAGCTGGCAAGAGAAAAAGCACCGTGCAGTCCTTGGAATATGGACAGCTCTTGTTTGCACCCACCCAGCATGTTACATAACCGTCTCTCCTCTCGACCACTGTACTCTGTGTACTGTATAAAAGCTGCAGCCCACACCCTCCATGTGTTTACGTTAATTGCTCAGTTGTTCTATCGCATAAATATGTCTACATCAAGGCAAGCGCGGCGGGGCAGGAAGTCAGCAAAACGGCAGGGTGGGAAAAGAAAAGAGATGTCTTGCAAAGCAGCTTCTGGCATGGAATCGCAGGGCAATTTCCCCCCCTTTGGTTTCTGCAGCAAGGAAGGGAAGATAAATGGCAGGAGTTGTTGAAGCAGCAAGAGCTGCCTCTTGCCACGAGAGCTCTCAGGCGCTGAAGCACCCGCCGTTGGCCAGCTTGTGGCCATCTTCCCTGCCAAATTAACTCCTCTTGGCAAACCACGCATTTCTGGTGTGTGACACTGAGCAACCATTCTTTCTTCCTTCCTTCCTTTTTAAAGAAACAAGCTGCCAAATGTAATCAGGGGTGCATTATGATGCTAAGCAGAGTAACAAAAAGAAATAAGCTGTGCAACAGGGAATTATGTTGCAAAGCTAGATTATTGCTTTGCTTTAATTAACAAGATACTGATTTAAATGGGGCACACCACCAATGCGCTTCCAAGACCTGCTCACCGAGTAGTCCCATCAGGAGATCATGCCCCAGATGCTTTCCCTGTATTCAAATATTCCAGGAATGAAAAAAGCAAGCCTGGAAAACAACTTTCAAAACCCGAAAACCTCCAGAATGCCATTTGTTCCTATGTGTGATATGAAACATTTGCACAGGCATCTCCTTATATAATCACAGAAGTGT